TTTTTTTTTTAACTAAATGACGCGTTTTTTTGAAAAACGACGTCGTTTTGGGTCCGTGTCCACAATTCATTGTGGACACGAGTCCATGGCATAATTTGCCATGCGGGTTGGCAGGCCCACGGGCCAGCCCACAAATTTTTTTTTTTTAATTCAAAGTAAAAAAAAAAAAAAAAGTATAGTCTACAAATATTAACATTCTGAATTTGAAATCTAACTTTAAAGTCTAACAAAAATTAATATTAATTCAAAGTTCAAAAAAAATTAGTAAAATTTATAAATAATATTTATTTTTTTCATATTTAAAAATTAAAAAGAAATTACATTTTTTAATATATATATATATATATATATATATATATATATATATATATATATATATATATATATATATATATATATATATATATTATTTTTATTATTAGGGCCTAGCCTGCAGGTCTTAGCAGGCCAGTCCCGTTAGGTCCGCTATTTTGCGGGCCATCTTTTTTTTTTTTTTTTTTTTTTTTTGCGGCCCTAACCCACGAATTTATAATATATTATACATTCAAAATGGATAATAGGTGAATGGGAAATTAATTCTCAAAGTATATTTATTTTAATTGGAAAATGAAGTATACAATTCTGTTCATTTTCCTGCTCATTTTCTGGAAAATGAACCAAACACAAAAAGACAGTTTTCCGTTGTGCAGCCAAACACCGGAAAGGAAAATGTTTTCTGGAAAATGACTCATTTGCTAAAAAAAAAAAATTCTAAAAATCATTTTCCTGCTTTCCAAACGGAGCCTAAGAGAGTGAGAGCTGAGAGACAAAAGGGGAAAGGATGAAAATAATTCTAAAGTCGTAATCTCTTCTTATATACTTAGAGCATCCTCAATAGTGGAGGATTTTACCTCTAATTTTTGTGGGTCCCAACATCCACCTCATCATCCACTATCTCACTTAATCACAAAATCTCTTCTTCCCATTAATTTTAAGTTTTTACCCAACTTTTTGTGGACCCACCATTTTATCTCCATATTTTAATTATTTCTTTATTATTTGATTTAAAAATTTATAATTTTAGAGGTAAACATAAATGATACGTAAAAATAATACCTAAATTAGCATACGTAAAAATTGCAAGCTTTCATTTTCAAACTTATAATTAAAATAAACATAGTAAGCCTAATTAATTAATACGATAGTTATAAAATGAAAATTAAACAACTAAAATGATAATTATTAATAAAAAAATAAAAAAAAATAATAATAAGTTGTGCCGTTGCCATCGGCAATGACACAATGGCAATGGCCGGAAAAATGGCCGACGGCCAGAAACAATTAATTTCAGAGTGGCCGCCAACTGGCGGCCACTCTGAAACGCCTTGGCGGGCGCGTGTAACACATGCGCCCGCCAAGCAGAAGGGTGAGACGCACTTGCGCGTCTCACCCTTCATTTGTTTTTGTTTTTTTTTTTTTTTTTTTTATTACTTCTGACAGTTTTTTGGCATTGCAGGAGAAAAATGCAGCTTCATTTTTGGCTTCTCATTAGTTCAAAAGCAAAGCAAGTAAATTTTATTGTTCCAAAATTTGGGTATGAGCCCCTAATGGGGATGCCCTTAGGCTAGTTCGGGTTTGAGGTCAAATTTAAAATTTAATCTAATAACCTAAAATCGGAATCATTTTTAATATATATGGTCATATTCCTATTGAGTTCAATTCATGTGGCTCAAATCTAACCCGATTCGGAATAAACGGGTCGACCCCCCACCCCCGAGTTCCACATGATTTTTGCCCACTACTAAACTCCAATGGTACTTCAAGGACACGTAATAAAATGAAAGGAAAAGTTGAGAGTGAGTAGTGATTAGAGACCTAATGAAGGATAAATGCAAATTTTCTATGGACTATGGCCCACATAGCACCATGGACCAAGTATCGAAATTATGTTGTTTTGTCTTTTTATTTTTAACTCTTGGTAACAACTAAAACTTCTATTTTCTTCTTTGCTTTGTGTTTTTTCTTCTTATCTTTTTCTTAGCTCGTTGTGACCGTAGCAGAAATTTTAGGTGTTGATCAGAGTTCTACAATTGAAGTTGATGAGAGATCTTGTATTCTAGGTTTTTATAAATGTTATGATTTTTGATGTTTTTATGGGCTAATTGTATAATTCAACTTATACTTTAGCTTGTATTTTTGTATGAGTTAATACCCAAAATCGTCCTCGACTATAGTGGTTTTTCCCAATTTCGTCCTAAACGACTTTGGTGACCTAATATCGTCCCAGACTTTTGTGTTTCGCTCAATTTAGTCCTCCATTTGTTATTCCGTCAAATTGGTGTTAAGTTAAGGGACAATTCAGTAATGTTAATATTGATCTCTCTTTACTTTCAACTTGTCAAGTGCAAAATTCCTCTTTCTTGTACGAATTACACCCAGATTTACTCCCGGGCCTGCAAATCAAATTTTATATTTGCAGTTTTAGGAGTAATTCGTAAAAAAAAGGGATTTCGCAGTTCACATGTCTATGAGTAAAGAGATGCCAATATTAAAATTACTTAATTGTCTATTTATTTAACACCAAATGGACAGAATAACAAATGAGGGACTAAATTGAGCAAAAACACAAAAATCTGGGACTAAATTGAGCGAAACACAAAAGTCTGGGATGATATTAGGTCACCAAAGTCGTTTAGGACGAAATTGAGAAAAACCACTATAGTCGAGGACGATTTTGGGTATTAACTCACTTTTGTATTGCAGATGCAAGTCCTCCTATTGCTATTGCTATAAATGATAGTTCTTGTATCACATGTTTTTATTTTATTTTATTTTATTATTTTTAGGGCTCTGGTTGTTTATTTGCAATATTTACCTATTATTTAGTGTTTAGCTATTTTTGGGTTTTTAGTAATAATGAAATTTTTTTATTCAAATAATGAACATTTAATGTCATGGTTAAAAAAAATTTTAGGCGTTCCTCACGCACCCTTGTATTTTTAATTTTATTTTTTATTTTTAAAAAATTGTTAATTTTTTTTAATTTTTTAAGACTTGATAATATAAACTACATAATACTTTAATAGTTAATATTAAAATATTAAATATTATCCTAAATAACATCTAGAATTTGAACAACTTAAGGATTTTTTTTTCGCTCAAGACTAGAGCCGTCGAAACGGTCTCGCGGGGCGGGGCGGGCCAAAACACACCAAAGCCCGTCCTCGTAGCGGGACGGGCTAAAAAGCCCGCCTCTTAGCGGGCTTGGAATGTGGCCGGCCCGCCCCGCCATGTCAAAGCCCGCTGGCGGGACGGGCTAGCCCGCCAATCAAAATTTTTCGCTGTGTTAATTTTTTTTTTTTTTTTAAATCACTGTACAATATCCTTAAAAAAAAAAAGAATCACTGTACAGACATACAGTACACTAACACAGTAACACTACCTAGTATTGTATTCCTATAAATCTATAATCCTATAAAGTTATAACACACTAACACAATTATACAAACCAAAATAACATGTATTAAATACTAAATATATATACAAAATATATATGTATTAGCAGGTCGCGGGCTAAACCCGTGACTCGCCTGACCCGCCCCGCCTGGACCCGTGACCCAGGCGGGACGGGCTAAAAAGCCCGCCTCCTGGCGGATCAAAATTTGAAGAACCCGTCCCCTATCTATGGCGGTACGGGACGGGTCGACCCGGCGGGTAAAACCCATTTTTGACGGCTTTACTCAAGACGATGTCATTTTGAGTTAAATAACTCATTTAAAAAAAGAAAGGAACAATAGTTAATTGGCCGACTAAGCGATCTAGTCGGTGCCTAGGCGGACACCTAGCCAGCCAGCCGCCTAGACCACCGATTATGGTGATACGTTAGGCAGTCATCCAGCACCTAGCCCCTAGGCGCCAATTAATCGGTGCCTAGGCGGGATTTTTGCAACAATGTTTAATGTTGAAATAATGAATATTTAAGCACTGTTTGGTAAAATAGTTAGCTTATCAGTTAATTTTGGCTTATTTGACCACTGTTAGCTGTTTGACTTGGTTAAACAATCAAAAAGCTGCTCAAAGTAGTTTCTTCGATCAACTTTTTGAGAAAGTCATTTTGTATGTAATCAACTAACAGCTAATTTATCAAAAACTTTTCTACAATCAGCTAATGCTATCAACTAGTTAAACCCACTAACTCAATCAGCTAACAGCTATTTACCAAATACCACCTTAGTATTTAAGTAATAAACCCTCTATCCCATGTTTTGTTTAGATTTTTTTCATTATTTTTAAGGTTGTAGTCATTTAGCTACAATATATTTAGTGTTTACATAATGATTCTATTTCAAGTCCTTTTGCTAATAGCGAACTTTTTTTTTATTAAAATACAGAGTAATAAATATTTAGGTTCGAAATAATGAACTTTCTGCATTGGTTATTAAAAATAAACAGTTAGGGTTGAAATAATGAACCTTCTGTATTGTAATAATGAATTTATGTTATTGTTGTTTTGGCGTTAGATGTTTTGATTTGGTAATTATATAATTCGATTTATACTTTTTGGAGGGGTTTAAAAAAAAAAAAAAAATTGCACTTGATGCTAGTTTTTCAATTGTATTTTTTTTTTTTTTTGAATGCTACTAGCTTTATTACAATGTAGTATTTGTTCATATACTTTCTCAACCTACTTTTTCAATTGTAGTTTAATTAATGCAAGATCTCTAATTACAATTGATGTGAAATCTCTGATTGCATTTGATGCGAGTTCTCCAATTACTATTGATAACGATTTTAGATTTTTAAATAGAGCTAGAGGGGAGGGGGGTTCAAATAATGAACTTTAAGTTCACTAATAATGAAACTAAAAATACAAATAATGAACATTCAATCTTATTTTGTGCATGTGCCTTAAGCATAATAAAAATAAATATTTAATATGCTTCACATTATTTTGTGTATGTCCGAGTAATGAACATTAAGTATATAAATAATTAACCTTAAGCATAATAATGTTCATATTATTTATACAATCAAATAATGAATTTTATATGCAAAAATGAACTTACAGTATACAAATAATGAACATTCTGCACATTACAACATTTGTATTGGTTGACGGTAATGACAACATAACCATTGGGGATAAATCACCAAACATTATTTAACCATTTTCCTTGTTTATATATTACAAGGTGGGTGCTTCAAATTTAAGTCTACATTGAGAAAGAGAACACTAATTCTTGCAACTCATTGTGTTTATCAGAAAAAGTTTTTGTACAAAACAAAATTCTGAGCCAACATATTCTTTTGAGTATTCACAATATGGATTCCAACTGCTTTAAATTTGGGTCCTGGTTTCCAGGTGCTTCATCTTCTTCCCGAGACTCGACATATGCATCAGCTATAGCCCGCCCTTGGTCGAGTACATTGGCTGGAACGGTTTTTAGGAGTCTGTAGATCGACAACAAGATTATCGAACTAGGCTTTCTAAAATATGCTTTTTGCTGAACAGATACAATAATGAACGGAGGGAGGAAATGAGAAAATTATTACTCGTCTAGTGCATTGATTGCTGCAGTGATCTTGCCCTTCATAGATTCAGTAGAGGCATCTCGTTCATTCCTTGATGCACGCAAAAACAACGAATCTAGTTCTTCCAAGGATCTTCGCATTAAAAATAGCAATAATAATAAATCTTACACATTGTTCGGGTTTTGTGTGAAGAGGTTGAGAACAAAAGAGAATATAAATCTTTGTAGGAATCAAAATCTTACAGGATCTAAACCCGAAGAATTGCAGGTAGCATTTATGGAAATGAAAACAGTACCTCAGACATTGATCAACTTCACTGAAGGCCAATTTACCATTGCCATCATCAGATGCATATTGAGCCACCTACAATCACATGAAATTTTAATTATTCGGAAAAGAAACAAACTTGCAAATTGCAATGCTTCCTCCTCTAGTGTTCAAGCACATTAATCAGGAAAACTATGATCTTAGTTGAGAACAGTAAATGAGGAGAAAAAAGATGCTTTGTAACATTTTGGGCATGATGATTAGAGTTATTCTTTACATGCTATCAATATACCACTGAATTTGAGACATTATGTGCAGGAATAAAAAAAAAAATTGAGGTGAAAAAGGCAAGAAGAGACCTTCACTTACTGCTCGAATATTAACACGAAGAGATGCAGCAGGGCCGGAACGTAATACATTCCTGCAATCAGCATATTTTGGTTGATCGACTTCCAGGGATTTCCCTATATATAAAGAAGATCACGAATGTCAAAGCCAGGACACTAAATGCTATGGAAATAAGTAATAACTATTCTTCCATCTCACACGGAATTTTAGAATTAAAGGAAACACATATATCATTTTAGATGTATATATGATATGATGGAACTTTAAGATCAAATGCCAGGACATTTAAGCAAATGCTTGTAAACAGGACCTCTATAAGGCGCGTTCTTTATCCTTGCAATTTATATTTGATCAAGGAATATAGCAATAAAATTGAGATGGATTATAATATTATATCATGTTACTCTTTGTCACTTTATTCTATAATGTATAAATTGTGAAACAGAAACATAGCATTACCTAGTTGTTTAATCTGCAACCGAGCCAATATCACAGCAGGTACATAAGCTTCTAGTGGATCAAGCTTTTTCCTAGGTCACGAATTCCAAGATGGAGACAAAATTTCAGATTGAAAAAAACTGAATGCTGGGAATAGAAGAAAACATGGGTTATTTAACAAGCGTCTGATAATATCAAGACAACAAAATGTCACAAGGAATATTTGAAGCTTCTCATGTTAAATCCAACAAATTACTGCATTACTATTTTGTTTATGACTTGCAAACAGATATAACAATCTTGTGTAGTCTCGGTCTGCAAGCAGTTTATATGAGGTGCGAGGCCTCCACAATTTTAGAATGCTTTGATGAACCAGAGACCATGTAAAAGTATTTCATACTGTTGAGCATATAATATATAAACAACATAATTGTGCAATCCAGCTATCAACTTAGGCTTTTAGTTGAAATAGAGCACATGCTTCCATTCATACAAGGTACAGGTGCAACCATGCAATAAAGTCAAAGAATTTATGTTGAACTAGAAAGAAAACAAAGAGTGGCAAGTGAACAAGATAAAACCCAACAAAATTCAGATGTCCATATTCTACAAGAAGATACTTGGAAGCCCTCATGGAGCATTCATCCACAAATGCATCAAAGTCATATATATACCTGTGATAGTGTGCAAGATTTACCCTAAATTTACCCCTCGTTTCAAAGAGATTTCCAGTTTTTGAATCCATGACCAATACATTACTCAAGCACTCAATTCCTGTCTAGGAGAAAATGTAAACAATAACCAGAATCATGGTAAAATATCATGTTTTTCTTATTCAGTTTCCCATATTACTACAAAATTTGGGCTCATATATTCTTTAAAAAATCCAAAATTTTGAGTCTTTTGAGTCAAGAGGTAATTACTCGATCAATCTAATCATTGATTCTCTCATTTTTGTAATCACAAAGGTGTAAAACATACGCAACAGAATCGCCTCTTTGATTTTCCTCCCTCACCTTTTCACATAATTATCAAATAAGCCGCCGCCCACTGCCTCTGCAAAGCCACAAAAATTTCATCAAGCTTCGCGCAATCTCTTAACTGCTTTTGTTATCATTTCATTTCAATTTCCAGCGTAACAGAAACCTAGAATTTATTGTGCTTTCACTAACGCCCAAACACGGCCTTGTTCTGCGCGCATTGCGCCTCTAAGCGCATGTTGGAAACAGGAAAGTTGAGAAGAAGGCGTACCTTTCGGGAGAGAGAACCAGTGAAGGAAGGCGGCGAGAGACACGGAGACCAACCGCCTGCTCTCCCGCCTTTTCTCGGAGAGCAATGCGCACCTCAACCTTAAAGTGCGCCGCTGCCTTCTGGCCGGAAACAAGCTGGAAAGCGGTGAAGAAGTAAACTGGGAACCTAAGCCGCGGGAGGTGCTAACCTGCGCGGGGATGATCGCTGCAGTCGACATCTTGCCGGAGTTTCTTCTACGAAGACGAGGAAACTAGTCTTATCCAAGTCCGTATTTTCTCCACCGGGAGTTTCATGTCATAGCGGAAGTTACCATTGTACCCTTCAAGGCCAGAAATCTTTGCCTTGAGAATTTCTAATTGTATGCTTCATTTTAACACCAACTGGAGAAATTAAAAGTCCAAGAATCAATTTTGAGAAAAGATCGTAGTCGAATAACCATTTTGAGAATTAACTCTATTATTTATTATTGACACTATCGAGTATAACATTATAGTATTAAGTCAATTGTCTAACGAACTTTACAAGGGTTGTCTCTAATAATAATAATAATAATAATAATAATAATAATAATAATAATAATAATAATATCGGATTTGAGAAATTTATGAAGAGTAAATAGCATTTTCCTTTCATATAATTTAGGTGTCGTTTGATTGAAGATTTTTGTATCCTACTATCGGATTTGATATTCATTATTATATTTATTTATCTATTTTTTTTATCTTACTATTGAATTAAAATTCTTTAGTACATATAAAATTCATTATCATTTTCTTTCCATACTATTGAACAATTGAATCAATAATAAAGAAGAAAAAATAACAAATAAATACAAATTTCATTGTTCATGCATTAAATGTGGAACCTTAATGTATATACACATGTGTATGTATTAATCTTTACAATTTAAAATAATTCAAGAACAACAAATAAATAAATAGCACAAGTCATATATATATATATATATATATATATATATATATATATATATATATATATATATATATATAAAATTAGGTCCAAATGCGGATGGTGCGCCCAGGTGCGAAGGTGCGATGAGATGAGAGCCATTAACCTTGCCTAAATCAACGTCCAGAATTAACAATGATTAAAAAAAATATGCTAGCAATTTGGTCTTTTTGTATCTAGGTCAATTTTAAGATGCATGATTTTCCTTCTTAAGGTGCGTGGTTTTTGTGCTTAAGGTGCGTTAGTTGTTGAAACTTAAGGTGCGTCGGACTAAAGCTTTAGGTGCGTAGTTTTCCTTCTTAAAGTGCATCGGCCTATGTCTTCTCATATTCTCTCGGTATGTACTACTGGTTTAATATCTTGGGCCCCGATTTTCGTGTTCGGTATTTGATCGTGTGGAATGGTTGATGCAACTTTGCCAATACAGTTGGTGCTTTGTGTTTGTTTGGTTTTACAACGTTGGAACTTGGATGGACTATGCGTTTGTGATGCTTCGTTTGTGTTTGGTTTCTATCTCATATGGAGGTGTGCGTGTGAGGGGTGTGGAGTATGTGCACATAACTTTACTTAACAATGTGTGCTTTGTGAGTAGTTTGGTCTGAACTTCTATTAGAGAAAGGGTGTGTGCGTATTAGGTATGTGGACTGTGCAAGTTCAATTTCTGAGCAGTATGTGCATTGTATTCGCTTGGTTTTAAAATATCGTCTGGTCTGTGCGTTTGATCGAGATGTTGTGTATGTGTATGCAAGTAACAATATTGGGGACTACCAAAATATAGTAGAAGATAGTTCATCTTTTGAGGACTTTGTCTCTCTCCCTATAGCATTGTTGCATCGTTTCCAGTCTGAACCTGCGTGGCAAGCCCCTGATCATAATCTGACTGAGGAGGAGGTTGGGTTGTTTCCACCGATGAAGACTCGTGCGACCCCAAAGCTTTTATTAGTCCCGAGAAGCGTTTATCTGTGTACTTGCTTGTGTGTGACTCTCGCTTGTGCACTAACTAGTCAATTGCTTCGTTCTTTATATGTGTACTTGCTTGTGTGATTGTCGCTCGAGTTGTCTTCCATAATTTTTTTCGCACACATTAATACATTTTGACGCATCTAGTTCATCGTCTGCGTGTTTTTTTGTTTTTATTGGGAAAAAATGTCAAATAAGCCCCTGAACATTATACAATGAGGCAATTAGACCCTTGAACTTTTAAAAGTAGCAATTAAACACATAAACTTTTGATTTTTGTGCAATTAGACCCCAAAATCGAATATTTACCTGTAATTGCAGGTAACCTCTTATGTGGCATCATACGTGACATTTTTATTAATAAAATAATATTTAATTTTAAAATTAAAAAAAAAAAAAACAAAAAAACACTTACCCGTCAAAGGCAGCCGGCAAAAAAAAAAAAAAAAAGGGTTGAAGCTTGAAGGCAGCCAGGCCGTCGGCCATGGCTACCTTGTTATGTGTTCCTTCTTCGTCTAAAAATCTGGAGATGAACAAGGGTCATCTTTCCCTTTCTTCGTCTCCAGATAAAGGGAAAGATTAAAAAAAAAAAAAAACAAAAAAAAAACACGAGAAGTTGAAAGCAGCCATGGTGGACATGACTGCCTTGTTCTTCTCTCCTTCTTCGTCTCCAAATTTGGAGACGAAGATGGGTTAAAAAATAAAAAATAAAAAAAAATATAAAAAAAAAGGAGAGAGTGAAGAAGTTGAAGGCAGCCATGGCCATGGCTGCCTTCTTCTTCTCTGGCCGGCGAACGACAAGGGCAAATCGTTACAGGAAATGTTTATTTTATTATTATTATTATTATTATTATTATTATTATTATTATTATTATTATTTTGATTTTTAATTTTAATAAATGCTTTTTAATTTTATTCTTTAAAATTTGCATATGTGGCAAACTTTAATGATGCCACATAAGAGGTTACCTGCAATTACAGGTAAATATTCAGTTTTTGGGTCTAATTGTACCAAAATCAAAAGTTGATGTGTTTAATTACTACTTTTAAAAGTTCAGGGGCCTAATTGCCTCCTTGTATAATGTTCAGGGGCTTATTTGACCCTTTAATACCAATGATCAATCATTTCATTTCAGCATTTTGGATTTTTTAATTGCATCCACATTGTTGTCCTATTTGTCACTTTCAATCTCAAACACGCACGCATAAGGGTTATGTTTTTAAAATCCAGGCTCAGTTAGCTTATGCACATGCTTCGACACGCACATGCACACAGTTATGCACACACCTGTTTGGCTGTATTCACACATTTAGGGTAGATGATATGCATACTAAAAAAAACGTATATAATTAGGAAGGTTTAAGTTTGTAAAAGGAAGGGAAAAAAAAAAGGTGCACACACTCATAGACGAATATGCACAGTACTGTGTACTATTCCACAACATTGGGGACGCATAGTAAAATGCAAACACCAGTTTGCCTTTTTGCACAGTTATGCACATGCCCCAAGCAAAAACCCTAGTAGAAAACGGAAAAAAAAAAAAGAAAAAAAAAAAAAAAAACTCAACCATGTTTTCTAAATTTATTGACGCTAGGGGTGAAACTAGGTCGAGCCGAGCCTAGCTTTAGAAAATTAGGCCTAGGCCTCTTACGAAAATCTAACGCCTGGGCCTGAGCCTGTATGTAGACTTTTTGTTAGGCTCAAGCCTAAGCCTACCATTAGCCTGGCCTGCAAATTATGCCCTGGAAACGTGTTCACCATGAATGGTGAACACGGATCCAAACTGTGTCGTTTTTACATGAAAAAAAAATTAGTTAATGTGCTGTTAACGGCGCGCGTTTGTTCAAATTATGAATTTTCTGTTATGAGATTATGAATGTACTGTAAATTCATAATCTCATAACAGAAAATTCATAATCGCATAAAAGAAAAACATTTATTAAATTATGAATTTTCTGTTATGAGATTATGAATTTACAGTTATGTAATTATGAATTTTCTATAAATTCATAATCTCATAACAGAAAATTCATAATTTCATAATAGAAAATTCATAATCTCATAAAAGAAAATTCATAATTTCATAACTGCACATTTATAAATCCATGCCTGCACATTCATAATTTATGAATGTTGAAGAAACTTGCACGAAGAGAAAGTGAAACCGCGAAATGTGAAAATGAAGAAGAAAAGTCACGCGGTTAATTAAAAAAAAATAATTAAAAAAATAACGGTGCACCGTTACCGTTGAGACCGTGTTCACCATGGATAGTGAACACGGCTCCACGGCATAACGATTGTAGCATGGCCTGGTTTTGCCTGAAGCCTTTTTAAAAGCCTGTTTAATATGTAGGCCATTAAAAATCCTTCAAAGTAAGTTCTGCTTTTTTTCAAAGTAAGTTATGCTTTGAGCCTATTTAAAACCTATATATTAAGTCTTTTTAAAAACTTTAATAAGTATTTCTAAATAATTTAAGAAATATACCTAACTAATACAAAATTAATATATAACTACATAAGTATATCGCCACAATGCAAACATAATAGTATTAAAACATATATAAAATAAAATAAAACAAGTCACAACTTCAACATCCTAGTTGGTGTTCTTGCATGCAAGGCTAAGTGGTGTTCAAGGCAGTCTGGCAGCCAAATACAGATCTGATCTCATAAAGTTGGACAGTAAGTTGCGACTAGACACTGCTGAAAATCTGTCTATTTCCGTCCAACATTTCCATCCAATAACAATGTTGGTCGGTAATTTGCAAAAAATTACAACTTTCCGTTGTAAATAGAAGTGGACGGAAAATTGGACGGAAGTTCCGACCTACAAAAATGTTGGTCAGAATTACCGTCCAACAGTTGTACGTTGGACGAAAAATTGAAGTGACCGGTAGGTGAAATAGAAACTGGTAGGTATTACTAATTATCGTCCAACAAAATGTTGGATGGAAATTTGAATCTTTAAGGCTCAACCTGTGCATTTCAGCTCATTTTCTTCAACTTTTCTCCATTTTTACTCTCTTCTCCATTATAAAAGTTGTTTCTTTGCTCAAAATTAGCATGGATAACAACATCTAGTGTTATTTTCGACAAAATATATTCCAAATCCAGGTATTATTTAAAAATAATAGCTTTTAATTTGTATATGTGTTTGTGTATAGTATATGAACATACAATTGCAATGTTATTATATAAAATCCTTTGTGTATAATATATGGATAGTTTTTGTGATTTTGAGTTGTTATTTACTTACGAATGTGTGTGTGTGTGTGTGTGTGTGTGTGTGTGTGTGTAATATTTTTGTGATTTTGAGATATTTATATTTTTATACTAGGCATATATG